CCAGAAGGGATGGGGAGAGGGGTTAGGGGAGAGCAGGGTGGGGGACACGAGTATGGTGTGCCCAGAAGGGATGGGGAGCAGGGTGGGGGGGACACAAGCACAGTGTGTCCAGAAGGGATGGGGAGAAGAATTAGGGGAGAGCAGGGTGAGGGACATGAGCACAGTGTGCCCAGAAGGGATGGGGAGAGGGGTTAGGGACAGGAGCACGGTGTGCCCAGAAGGGATGGGGAGAGGGGTTAGGGGAGAGCAGGGTGGGGGACACGAGCACAGTGTGCCCAGCTGGACATGAGCATCTGGCTTGGACCAGCCACAGCATGACCAGGGCACTGCCCAGCCCTGTGCTGGCACTGCTGGGGCACCTCCAGTCCCAGGGGTGGTTTTGGGGCCCTCACAGCAAGATGGACATTGAGGGGCTGGAGCATGTCCAGAGATGGGAATGGAGCTGGGGAAGGGGTTGGAGAGCTCCTGAGGGAGCTGGGGGGGCTCAGCCTGCAGAAAAGGAGGCTCAGGGGGGACCTTTTTGCTCTCTGCGCCCCCCGGAGGGGGGGGGGGGGGGGGGGGGGGTGTTGGTCTCTGCTCCCAGGGAACAAGGGACAGGACAAAAGGAAGCAGCCTCAAGTTTCCACAGGAAAACCACGGGAGGTTTAAGCTGGATATTCAGGGAAGTTTCTTCATGGAAAGGGTGGTCAGGCCCTGGCACAGGCTGCCCAGGGCAGTGGTGGAGTCCCCATCCCTGCAGGTGTGGACGTGGCACTTGGGGACATGGGTCAGGGGTGGCCTTGGCAGTGCTGGACTCGAGGGGCTTTTCCAACCTGAATGATTCCATGACTCCGTGATTCCATGACTCCCTGATTCCACCTGCCGAGCCCCAGCAGACACCCACCAGCACAGGCAACCCCCCGAATGTGTCCCAACATCCCAAACCCAGGAGCACTCATGGATTTGTCCCCCTCCCCACCCCAAGCTCTGCTCACCGGTGCTGCGGGGCCGCGCTGCCCCTTCCCGGAGCCGCAGCGTCGCCGAGGACGGGGGAGGAAGGGGACGAGTGCCCGGAGCCCACCGAGCCAGGACGGAAGGAAGTGCTTTTCTTGGCCACCTGCTTCCTGGACTGGGCCAGCTGGCTGTCAGAGCATCTGCAGGAGGCAAGGAGGAGGCGATTTGGAAGGTGGAAAAACGACCGGCGGGAATCAAAGCAACACTCCCCCCCCACGGAACTGAGAAATCCAGGAGAATCCCAGCAGGTGGGGGTTTTTTTTTCCTAGTAAGTGTGAAAATCAGCCCATCTCTGACTATTTCTGCCACAGCAATCCCACAACCACCCCAAATTCCAGGACCCAGCAACAGTTAACAGTAACTTGTGAGTGGCAAGTAAGGCAAGGGTAACAACGATGCCCAAGGTCTTCATCCCACGCAGCTCGACAAACCAGGCCATGAAGAAATCCCTGGAATAGCAGAAACCAGAGTTTCCAGAGGCTCAGCTAGTCAGGAGTGGGAGGAACTAATCCAGAGGACTCTTTTGGCAAGACTGAGGAACAATCCATGGTTGTGCAAGGGAATGCAGTAACACCCCTGATGAAAGAGCTACAAGGGGCTCCCAAAAATCAGGTTTTCAACCTATGTCATGGTTTTTCAATCAATTCCAGCAGGTTTTCAATCCATTCCGGAAGGTTTTCAATCCCTTTACACCAATTAAACAGAAAACCACCCCAAACCAGCCACTGAAATGGAAGAACACTGAAGTTATCAGGGAAAAAGGGAGGAGACATGGAAAGAGGTGAGGGCTTCTGCTAAGAGCTGCCTGAAAGCAAAGTGTTCAAACACATCTCAAAGAGCAAGAGGAAAAATCGGCTGAGAACAGTGAGAACTGGTTTGACAGAGCCAAGAAGAACCTGAAAGTGAGACCAGAGGGGGGAAGAGACCCAGGCCTTCCTCAGAGGAAACAAAACACCAGAGTGGAGAGACCATTCTTGGTTTTAATGATCTAAAATCCAAGGATCCCTGGGCTCAGCAGGGACAGGGACACGGCCCCGGGGCACCGCTCACACCAGCTGGGTTTGAGGGCAGGGAAGCAGCTGCAGTGTCTGCCCGGATGGAAACCAGATCCTAAAGCCAAACCCTCTGTGGGGAGAGGGAAAGAACTCCTTGTGACCACTGCAAGGAGGAAGTGGGGAAGGATTTGCCCACGACGGGGCTGCAGGTCCAACTTGGTCGTGTTCACGTCGTGCCCACGGTCCCGACGCCCTCCCAGCCCGGAGTGTCCCAGTGCCAGGCACAGCCCGGCCCTTCCCTGCACACAGGGGGGATTTTGGGACCTCCTCCAGCATCCAGCCTCTCTTCTGGGTTATGGAAAAGGTGAGGAACAACGTTCTTGTGGCTTCAATCCCCAACTCCTGGTCAGAGCGGCACAGGGGGAGCGTTTCCAGGGGTAAAATTGGGTCATACTGCACTGCTCGGAGAGGAACCCCCACCAGACACCCCCCCAGCCGGGGTCTGAGCTGCTGCTACACCTGGAGAGCCTCGGGGGAGTAAAGATTGACTTCCTGCACAGGCTCCTCACAGCTGGGACACCTCCTGCCCCCCTCGTGCCCCACCAGCAGGGCACAGTCACAGCAGAAGACGTGCTGGCACGGGGCCAGGCGGCCGCAGATCCGGATGGGGAATCCACAGCGGGGGCAGAACTGACCCGGGAGAGCAGCTCCCTCCCCTAAAGAGTCCCAGAGCACATTCCCGGGCTCCCTGGTGTCCTCCAACACGCTCCCTTCAGCACCAAGCCGAGCTCCTCCTCCATCCAGGCCTCCTCCAGGCTCCGGGGACGTCCCCCTCGGGCCCCTGGCAGCGGCTTGGCCGGGGTTTGCTCCGTGCCCACCGGGACCCACCGCTGATCCCGGATTCCCTGGGAAGCCAGCGAGGTCAGTCCAGGTGCAGGGACACGAGGCAGCCGGGGGCCAGCGCCTGGATCGTGACACGAGGGAGCAATTCAGGTTGGGGGAACACGAGGAGCAAAGGGCCCCTTTGGAAAGACAAAAGTGCGAAGCTTTAGCCCCGAGGAGGAATTTTTGGCTCGGGGTGGGGGGGGGTGTTGGCTCCCACCCCCAATTGTTCATCCTGCAGCTTTAGCCAAGGGTGTTCCCCCAAAATCGGAGGGAACCTGCACCTGAGGATTCCTCTGCAGAGAGGAGGTGATGCCTGAGCGAGCTGAGGGCTGGAGAGGGAAAGCAAAGGAGGTGGAAGTGCTGGAGAGGGAAAGCAAAGGAGGTGGAAGTGCTGGAGAGGGAAAACAAAGGAGGTGGAAGTGCTGGAGAGGGAAAGCAAAGGAAGTGGAAGTGTTGGAAGTGGCTCCAGTACTTACTCCATCTCTGCAGGCTGAGGGGACACAGAGGAAGCAGCCGGGAGCTGCTCCGGGGGTTTGTACTGGGGACCAGCTCCTGCTAAATCCTGGGTGTACTGGACCACAGGGCCTTTGCTCCTCACAGCACCTGGGGGGGGAAGGTGAAAAACCAAAGAGTCAACAGGAAAAATCTCCAGCATTATCCCAGGTTGGCTGCACCAGCCCCAAAATACCGACTTGGTGCCTGCAAGGAATGAAAACCGAGGGATTTGGGATTATCTGGGGCACGGCCAAGATCTGGGGCACAGCAACTCCCCCCAAAAATTCTGGTCACTTCCCCCAAATGCAGTTTGGTTTGGTGGTGTAATTCCAGGGGAAAAATTCCACTGGAAATACGACAGCTGTGCCAGGAGGACAAAGCACTGGGAAACCCAAAATCTCCAGGAGTTCTGCTACAAAATCCCACTGGAAACCCGAAACCTCACGAGCCGGGGGGCAAAAATCCCAGAAAGCTGAAATCTCCAGAGCTCTGCTAAAAACCCACCACACCCAACCCACCCCCCAGTTAAACCCCAGGCTATGAGTGAAAGCAGGAGGTGCCACCGACCGACATTGGGCCGAGTCCTGGTTTGCCCACTTTGCTTCTTTTCCTGGGTGGAAGCTGTGGAGGTTTTCATGCTGAACATGGGCTCGAGGCGTGTGGAGCCACGGTAAATCCACTCACACCGTTTATCCTCCTGCAGGAGGGAGTAGGACACGCTCCCACTTCCCATGGGAAGAGGTTCCTGGGGGGAAAACACACAAGAGAGCCCAGGGAGACAACGGTGAGCCTTGACAGACAGCACGGTCGTGGGGTTTTTTAGGTTGGAATCCCTGGCTGGGTATCAGGGAAAGTTTCTCCAGGGAAAGGGTGTTCAGGCCCTGGCACAGGTTGCCCAGAGTGGAGTCTCCCATGCCTGGAATTGTCCAAAACCCCTCTGGATGTGGCACTTGGGGCCATGATTCAGTGGGGGCCTTGCACTCCAAAATCTCAAGAGGTTCTTCCAGCCTTAATAATTCCGTGATCAGTAACAAAAACGCAGCTGAGCCAGCCCCCCAGACTCAAATTTAATCCAATTTTCCTAACAGGAGAAGGGAAATTCCTACCAGGAAGAGGATTTTGACCAGACTTCCATCCACTTCTTCCACCCTGGATTTCCACCAGGTCCCTTCCCACTCAGTTTTGATGAGCTGCCCGTTCTTCAGCAGCACCATGGGCCTGTTGGGGTAGGCAGTGATGTATTCCTCGATGAAATCCCGACAGGAAACATCCTCAATGTCTTCCCAGCTTTTTTCCACTGCATGGAAAGAGATGGATGAGAAAAAGGGAAGCGGAAAAAACCAGAGAGAACCTTTTAATTCTTTTCTTTTAGGAGATCCCTGGTGGATTTTTACACATGGTCAATCCAGGGGCCATCCCGAGGGGCTGGAATTTCGGTGGTGGGGCACATCCTGAACTCACCCTGGCAATAACTCGGGATTTCAGACGTCTCCAGGCACAGCACCGGAGGGGACACACCCTCTGTCCCCTGGTTTTTGAGCCCAAACCTCCCCAGGTGGGATGGGATCACTCACGTGGCCGACAGACGGGGTACAGCTCCCACTCCTTCACGTACGACGCGTAGCCGTCGTCGAAGAAGATCAGGAACCTGGAAAAACAGGCGGGAAATCAGGAAGGGAGCCGAACAGAAAACAGCTCCACGTCACAGAAGGCAAGTGGAGAACCTCTCCTGTTCCTCCTGGACACATCCCAACCCTGGGGGAGCCCTGAACTCCGGGTAAGGCACCCACTCAGTGCCACGTGTCTCGGAGTGACGGCTCCGGAGTTGTACAACAGCATCAGCCCCACGACCAGGAGGAAATCTGCAACGTGAGTAACAAATGCAGCTCATTTCCCGTTATTAAACGTGGATCAGGTGCATCTCAGCAGATCCAGAGTCATTAAACCCTTCATCAGCCTCTTCAGGGAAACCACAAGCCGGGATTTTAATAGACCGGAGCAGCCCTGCCCCTTATTCCCATAAAAGCTGCTCCAAACTTGCTCCTTTCTCCTCCCAAAGCGCTTTGACAGCGCTGCTGGCACTGAACCCTTCCAGGGCTCCCATTTCCTCCCACTGTTTCACACCTCAGGCAGCCCAGACTCCACATCTGGGTGATAATTTGAATAAATTAGCAGATCTAATTCCTGTCTCAGGGCCACGAGCAAGAGACTGGAAGCTCCACCCTGAGGTTTCAGAGATAAGATTAAGGAAAGACTCAAAACTTGTTCCTGGGGAGGGCAGAATTCAGCAGCTGAAGATACCCAGGTAAGCTTTTTTTGCCTCAAACAAAAAACCAAAAAAAAATAGAGTTGGAAGTTCATTACTCTGGGAAATAAGGAATACCTGTCTTTATTCTTGACATTGGGGGTCTCAGCCACGATGCCAGCATAGAGCCACATCTGATTGCCATCCTTGTACCTGGCCACCACCCTGCTGCCCACGTGGTGCCCCTCAGGACACGGGTGGTAGTCGTAGGCAATGTGGTTGCCCGAGAGCAAACTCTTCCCCTTGTTATCAAATTTCACTTTGTATTTCTTGCCAGCACCTGGGAAAAGACGTTTTTTTTTTTAAAGACAAACAGAAAATAAACGAAAGGGAAACTAAACAGAAGCCCGAGAGGTTTCATCCCAGAGAGGCAACGCCCTGGGGTCATTCTGAGCCTGTTTATTCACAATTAACTCGGAGTTTATTTAAAATCTGTTCAGAATCCATCTGGAGGGTGAAACAGCGGAGCTGCGTCGCTCCCACTGTCCCTTCCAGGTTTGACACCAGGTGCTCTGACACCTTTTAATCCAAGTCTCCCCCCCCCCAGATCCCAGGGAAAGCCCCAGGCCCAGCACGTACCGACTGGTTTGATGGCAATCAAGGTCCCTTTGTGCCACGTTTTGGTTCTTTTCTTGCCCAAAATCCTCATTCCCACTTTGAGATCCCCGTCGGTGTTGAGATCATCCCCAGGGGCCGCGGGGACAACGGGCTGGGCAGTGCCAGGACATGGCTGAGGGGGCTGTGCCTCTGCCAAGGAACAAGGATCAGTTATAAATCACCCAGAGCTCCCTTTTCTGCTGGAATTACAGCTGGAATCACATCCCTCCGAGCTGCAGCAGGAGGAATTCCTGCTTTCCTTCCCCTCAGGCAGCCCGAGTGCCTCCGTTTTACTGCAGGGAAAGGACTTAAAGAAAAACAGGAGTTTGGAATCAATATACCCTAAATCTGGAGTCAATAAATCCTAACAGAGCTCCCCAGCAAGGAAACTGGATCGTTGTTTGCCTTTTTTGGGAAACAAAGGCCCAGGGCCAGGCCACACCAGGGGGTCTGCAGGCCCCTGGAAGGTCCCACACCTTTTTGTGCTTCCTGGGAGCTTGTTTTCTTGTTCACAGCATCCATGAATTTGGCAACATCCCGGGCTGATCTCCTCATGGCAGCCATTGCTTCCTGCAGCTGGAAGGGAAAAAAGACAGGGGAGTTATGGAGAAACTCTTTTTTTCTTTGCACCAAACACAAACACTGTGTCCCAGGAAAATCCCCACTTGAAGAATCATCTGTAGTCAGGACCTTCTCACTCACCAGACTCTGATCTTTGGAGATTCTGGAGCTGCTGGTGCCTGTGAGTGAAGAGGAAAAAGTAGTTTAAAATGTTTTTTGGAGAAAAAAAAAAATCTATCCTAGTTAAACCCCAGGAAAAAGAGAGGACAGAGAAAAGCATCCACCTCAACCCCCTGTCAGGAAATCCACTCAAATAAGGCTTTTCCTCATTCATCTTTTCTAATGTGAGGCAGTGTTTGACGGGGGACAACAGTCAGGGACGTTGGGAAAGGGTGAAATCCCAGTTTGGGATTCCAGGAATCGTGGAACGTTAACAGGACGCGGCAGATGCTCCTCATGAGCAGCCCCTTATCCCACTCCCCCTGCTGTCCTGGGCACAGTGGGATTTACTGAACTGTGCTTCCAGCCCGAGTCCACGCTCATGACGTCGTCGTCCTCCTCGTCCGGGATCTCGATCACTTCCGTGGCCGCCGGGGCCTCGTCCTCGGAGCTGCTCTCCCGGTACTGGAGGCCCATCATGGAGTACAACTCCTTGGCCAACGTCTCGCACTTGTCGATGGCTCTGGAGGAGAGGGAGGGAATGCAGCTGTACATCCTGGAATACCACAGGGGTGACCAGGCAGCTGGGCAGCTCCCTGAGGGAAGCGTTGGCACCAAGCATTTAAAGCCTTGGGGAGCTGTCACTGGCCCTCATTAACCACAGGCAAACTAAGTGACCTCAATCCGCTCCAAAGGGAATGAGAACACCCCCCACAGCCCCTTCCTCGGAATTCCGGCCCATTCCAGGTCCACCCACCTCGTGGCATTGTCGATGAGCTGGTCAACGTGAGCCGCCTCCTCCTCCTTGTGCCTCACACACTTCTCCAGCTCCTCCAGCTGCTGCTTTCGCTGCCTCACCCACTCGGAGTTCTCCACCTCCTTGTCGATGATCTCCTGCAGCTCCTGCAGGGAGATTCCCAGCTCCTCCACCACCTCCTGCTGCAGCTCTTCAATGTCCTGGGTGTCCATCTCTGCTGCCCTCAGAGCAGAACAGGCGAGGGAGATCAGGGGAGGGGAGGCGGGTGAGGGAGAGGGAGGGCAGGCAACACCCCCTCCCCGTCCCAATGACCCCCCACCACCGCCCCCGTCCCCCCCCCGGCCCCCCCCCCCCCCCCCCCCCTCCCCACCCCCTCATGAGTCCTCGATCCCCCCCCACCCCGATCCCCACAGTCCCCTCGACACCCTCATGAGCCTCCCGGTCCCCTCAGAGCCCTCCGATCCCTCACAGCCCCACGATCCTCCTCCGACCCCCTCAGAACCCCCCGTCCCTTCAGAGCCTCCCTGGTTCCCTGAGATTCCCCCCGCGTTCCTCAGAATCTCCCGATCCCTCGTGGTTCCCTCAGAGTTCCCGTGTTCCCCCCGGTCCCCTCAGAGCCCTCCGGTCCCCTCAGACTCTCCAGATCCCCTCAGAGCTCCCCAGTCTCCTCCAGTCCCCACAGAACCCCCCGTTCCCCCCGCGCCTTCCGCCCCCCCCCCCAATCGCCGCCGGTCCCCTCCTTTCCCCCCCGTTCCCCCAGAGCCCCGTTTCCCCCCAGAGCCCCCCGTTCCCCTGTTCCCCCCTCACTCACCGCTCCTCTGGTGGAGCGGGAGACTGCGAGCGGCGCTGCCGACGGAATCCGCCTGTCGTCACCTCCGCCGCCCGCGGCCCGCGGTGCTGCCGCCTGGCGAGGGCGGCCGGGATAAGCCTGGGATAAACCGGGAATAACGTGGGAATAAAGGGGGAATAAACCGGGGGTAAACCCCGGAACAACGGGGATCGGGCCTTATCGCGGCCAGACCGCGTGGTGTGTGTGTGGGGGGGGGTGCCCCTATTTATTGGCCAAGACTTAGAGATCCCCTTACAGGGTGGGACTTTAGGCGCCCACGGAGATCCTGACTTGTTACTTTAGGCGGCCCTGGAGCCCCTAAACTGCGTTGGGCCTCCTTGACTTGCTACTTTAGGCGGCCCCAAAGCCCAGCTTGTTACTTTTGGGCGGCCAAAGAGCCCCTAAACTGGGTTGGGCCGCCTTAATGTGGTTCTTGAGGCGGCCCCAGAGCCCCTGAGCTGGGCCGGGCCTCCCCGGCTCCTTACTGAGCTCTCAGTGTCCCACCGACTGTTCCAGAACGTTCCGTGAACCGCCACCTCTGTGGGATTTGGGATTTGCAACACGATGGGGGGTTCTGAGGGGCTCTGAGGGGAGGGGAGGCCCCAGGAAGATGGAAGGGTCCTGGGGGCACTGGTGGCTCTGGGGTGGAGGGGTCTGGGGGTTCCTGGGGGGCTCTGAGGGTCCTGGCTGTGATACCAATAAGTGCCCCCCAGAAGGCGCAGAGAACTGCTCAGAGACAAGATTTAGGCTTTAAGCAGCGAGGTGTGTTTATTAGGGAACGTTGGAGAGCAGCCAGCTCGCGCTGGACAAACTGCTCTGCCTCTCCAGTGAAATTACAGGATTTTATACCATTTCTACCAGTGATTGCAACATATTTACGTACATATTCATATAAATGCAACATCTAATTATAATATTCATAATAGGTGGAGTCTAGGCAGAGTCTGGGACGTGATCTTCAATTTGGGGAGAATCCTGTTCTTCATCCTTATCAGCCCCTGGCCCAGGCTCCATCATCTTCATGAACTTTTCAACTTTCTCAGTTTTGGCAGACTTCATGGTGAATTTTGCAAGATTCTTGGACTCAAGCCCCATTTCACCCCTATCTTACTCATGTTAGGTGTGTGTGCATTCTTTTAGTGCACAGTACCACCTAATCTCTATCTCTAGGTTCTGGCAGTACATCCTAGCTAAGTATTGGCAAAGTTCTTTGTGCTCTCGTTTGTGCCTATATTCTGACCTACCTATATTCTGATTTTAACTCTCTACCTGCCTTCTAGGCCTTGTCTGGCTTCAGGTGGCCTTGGGATGGCAGGGGTTGCTGTGGGGCTGGGGGTTGTTGGAGCACCATGTGGGGAGGGGGTGCTGTGGAGTTTGGGGGTCCCAGAGGGTTTGAGGAGGGTCAGTTGATGGGTTCCCCCTTCCAGGTGGAGGTGAGGATGGGGTTGGGGGTCTCAGGGGGTTGGGGGGGGTCAGTTGATGGGCTCCTCCTCCCAGGTGGGGCTGGGGATGGGTTTGGGGGTCTCAGGGGGTTTGGGGGGGGGGGGCAGTTGATGGGCTCCTCCTTCCAGGGGGGGTCGGGGGCGCGAGTGCAGCCGGGGTCCCATTTCACCCCTATCTTACTCATGTTAGGTGTGTGTGCATTCTTTTAGTGCACAGTACCACCTAATCTCTATCTCTAGGTTCTGGCAGTACATCCTAGCTAAGTATTGGCAAAGTTCTTTGTGCTCTCGTTTGTGCCTATATTCTGACCTACCTATATTCTGATTTTAACTCTCTACCTGC